TGGCCAAAGCCAGCACTCCCAGCCAATTCTAGTCCTATACATTGGTGACTGTAACAGCCACATTTGTGGGACTATGAAGTAAATGAGGCCGACAATGAAGACCTCATGGACTGGATGTCCACCGATCTGAAACTGGTCTTTGATCTCAAACAGCAAGCAACTTTACATTCTGCTTGCTGGCAATGCATCCTCACAAATACTTCCCAGGCTCCCCAACAACCAACATAGGTCCATCATCATCCATGTTGGCATCAAAATTGTTGTGCTTAAAAGAAGCACCTGGGATCTTCTCAGGGGGATAAGACAACACGCCACATTTATTGAACATACATAGATCAATCAACACTTTATCATATGCATATGAGGGTATGTCTACACTAGCTCGTTAGTTCGAGCTAGGTAGGCAAATTAAGGCAACCGGAGTTGCAAATGAAGCCCGGGATTTTGCACCTTCTCGGGAGCCACCATTTTTAAATCCCCCTTAGTCCGAACTCCGTGCCCGCGGCTACACGCAGCATGGAGTAGGTAGTTCGAATTAGGAATGAGGTGTACCGGTAGTTCGAATTAGAGATCCTAATTCAAACTACCTACTCCATGCCGCGTATTTAAAATGGGATTTAAAAATGGCGGTGCCTGGGAAGATGCAAATGATATTTAAATCCCAGGCTTCATTTGCAACTCCGGTTGCCCTCATTTGCCTACCTAGCTCGAACTAACGAGCTAGTGTAGACATACCCTGATATATTACTCTCATGCACTCCTCAGTCACTCACACACACACACACACACACACACACACACACACGTACACTCTGTCTTGTTGTTACCAATAGTTGCTCTCCCTAACTACACTAGCTAGGTGAGTTAGATGGGGGAGGATTGGAGCCGGGCTTCTGCCGATCTGGATCGATGCTCCGATGTTGACAAGACGAAAACCCGGGGTCCTTCTGCAAGATACCTCATATTTATCCCTCTCATGAAGCCAGTTACTCCACACCTCGCCTTTTTTAATGCTTCAAAGAGAGTTCTTTCAAGGGTAGGCACTTGCTGCTCAACTCCCAGGGCCATCTGTATGTCCAGTCTTCTTTTCAATGAGCTCACTTATAGACTCATAGACTTTAAGGTCAGAAGGGACCATTATGATCATCTAGTCTGACCCCCTGCACAATGCAGGCCACAGAATCTCACCCACCCCCTCCTAGAATAATCCTCTCACCTATATCTCAGATATTGAAGCCTTCAAATAGTTTGAAGACCCCAAGATTCAGAGAATCCTCCAGCAGTGATTTGTACTCCATGCTACAGAGGAAGGCGAAAAACCTCCAGGGCCTCTGCTAATCTACTCTGGAGGAAAATTCCTTCCTAACCCCAAATATGGTGATCAGCTAAACCCTGAGCATATGGACAAGACTCACCAGCCAGACACCCAGAAAGTTCTCTATAGTAACTCCTATCATTCCTCTAATGACCTATTTACCATTGATAATGGTCAATTAGTTACCAAGATCATGTTACTTCACAGGTATTGTCTTGGATCTGGCTCTCAGCCCCTCTCCACCCTTGCAACTGGTGCTGGAGGTGCTCACCTTTCATTCTCCATTTACACCTCATTCATTTCAACAGGGCAATCAAGGAAAGGGGAGAGATCTATTCTTCTCCCAGCAAAAGAATATTTTCATTACCTTAACTATTCCTAAGACCTATAACATAAAGAGACAAGATCTCTCTCTCTCTCTCTCTCTATAAGGACGTACAAAGTTTCTCTTAATACAAAGTTATATGAGAATGATACATGGTTATATGGAAATGTTACAGATTTATCCACAAAATCCCAGTGATACTGTTGAAATGAATCCTACAATGGAACCTGACCAGAGTCAACTGGGATTGCTAGAGGAAAGACATTGAAAACGTGGTGACTGAATCCCTATGACACCAGAATGTTATCAGATATGTTTGCCTCAGCACTGCTGCCACCAGGAAGAGCATTGTGCTTCATGAAAGAAAACACTCCCTGCTGGACAAAAGAGACCCAGGACCTGCACTAGCAATCAGAGCCATTCCTAGGGTGGTGCAGAACCCGGGACAAGCCCCATCTCCATTCTGCCTCTGGCCTCACCTTCCTGCCCACACACCACCCCCAATCCAGCCCTTCCCTAAAGCCCCGCCCCTGCTTCACCCCTGCCTGCCTCTTCCTGATCCACTCTGCCCACATCCTGTACCTATTCCTCCCCTTTCCCAAACTCCCTCCCCTGAACAACATGCCCAGCGGATTAGTGGGAATGTGGCGCCAGCAGCAGGGGAGGTACCCACTCCCACACTCACCAAGGCAGTGGGAAGCAGAGTGTCCTACTTCCAGCCAGCTTCACTCCATTGGCTCCCAGCCATGTCACTCCACTTCCTAGCCTCTCCTGTGACTGTGGTGGAGCGGTTCCACCCCTTCCTCCAAACCCACTACCTGGGTTATATGGCTGGGAACTGAGGAAGTGAAGCGACCTGAGCCGGGCTGCTCCGCTTTCTACCACCACTGGCAATTGTGAAGACAGACTTCACCTTTTCTCCAGATACCAGGCCCCCAAATAGTCCTTTGGGCTGCCCTAGGACCTGCAGGTTGTTATCCTGAACCATCCGATGGCTTTGCCAGCAGTACAACCAGTCAGGCAGGAAAATAGGTTGTGAAGGCCCTATTAAGAGTCTTTAGACTCAGCCAGATGCCAGCGGTGAATTGAATGTGTTGAAGGTGTGAACTTCACACACGCTAGTTGCCATGCTTGGGCCTTTCTACGACATCTCAAAGCTGCTAATATGACAGAATACTGAACCACAAAATTCTGGCCCAACTTCATAGCCTCCCAATTGGTGGAGAGTACAAAAAGGCCACTCAACAAAAACACCAAGTGAGAGATCAACTACATCAGACAGTGACCTCAATCTTTCTACGAGACCCCATTTCCATCAGTGCAGAAGAAGTGAAGAGGGTTTAGCCACAGTGAAGACAGGAATGGTGGCTGGCAGAGATGTTGTCCCCCTGGAATTTCTTCATCTACTTCATCTGGCAAATTCTACACCAAACCATGGAATCTGGTTACCTCCCAAAGTCTGGTGTGAGATGATAGTCATGGGCCATACTCAAATCAGGCAAGCCAACAGACAACCCAGGAAGTTAAGAAAGTTTTTTTATATCCTTCCTCTTTAGTGTCTTCCCTTTACCAAAGTTTCAGGACAAACCTCACTTGTTGTCCCCCACACTCCATTCATTGCTCCTTCCACATAGTAGCTTTTGTATGGACCTGTTTTTCTGACTCCTTCTGGTCATGTCATGTCCTCTTTCAAGCAGCACTCTAAAATATACTCTTTTCTAAAAGGTTCATAGTTTTGTTTCTCAGAAAAGTACTAATAGTGGTTTGGTGAATTTGGAAGAAACTTCTCCTAAAGCCAGATGATTCCATAATTGTCCAGTATGGGGTTTCATGCACGTCTCTGTGAAGCACCTGATGTTAGACATATAGTAACTCATACGCAGGAGCGGCCCCAGGCCGGCTGCTGCAGCTGGTGCCCCAGGTGGAAGGCGCGATTGGCGCCCCCGCCTGCACGGCCATCAATAGCTGTGACGCAATCACGGGGCACTCCAGCGCCCTGTGACATCATCATTGGGCGCCCGGGCCAGCGGCGCCCTAGGCAACTGCCTAGTTTGCCTAGGCTCATGTGCCACCCCTGCTCATATGGCTACACTGCCGTTATTTTCAGAAGAAGATATGAAAATTGTGCTTGCATTTACATATCTTCTTTCGATTCTTTTTGTGGAAGAGGTTTTTCTGATATTTGGCCCCGTATAGACAGGGCCAAATGTCAGATAAAACCCTCTTTTGCAAACCTTGATATGGCCTCTACATGGGGCCAAATATTGGAAAAACCTCTTCTGCAAAAAGAGTCGGAAGAAGATATGCAAATGTGAGTGCAATTTGCATATCTTCTTCCGAAAACCCCCCGGCAGTGTAGCCATAGGGAGAAAAGCTCAATAGAGAAAAATAAGCATTAGAAATTTTCTAACAACATTATGCTAGCTTAACTGATTGGTCTTTTGTATCTTATCATTTGTTTATTGCCCACTATGGTGCTTACCCTAAATATTAGAACTGGTCAAAAATGCTAAATACAACATTTTCATTTTGTTAAAAAATTACATGTAATTTTGACAAGATAAAGCAATAAATTCAGAGAGAAATTTCCTTTCAAATATTTTGACAAATGCTAGAAAATCCATGCAACCGGAATTAAATTTGCTACTGAGTAGTTCCATTTCAGTTATCCACCTGCCTGGGCATTTGCACAACATGGTCTGTGGGTCTGAATCCTGCCATGTGAACCTCACAACAGGACCTTTACACTTGTCAGGACCTTTATACTCCCTCTGATGTCAGTGGGGCTCTAGATCAGGTTGCAGTTTGAGAACTTTAGAGTGTAACCTCTTCCAGGCAGGTGACTTCTCTCTATAATTTTTTGAAAAGAACCATGCTTACTTGGAAGCTATCAAAACACGCTGCTAACAAATGCCTTGGATTAAAGGCACTTTAATAGAGTAAAGCTATTTTTCCAGTAATTGTTTTCTTTAAAAATATTCACACATGTAGCATTGTCTTGACATCCCACACCATGACATAGGAGAGTCACCTGCTATCATCATTTTGTTTATATGGTGAATCTGCAATTAGAGCTGTGCTAATTTTTCAGGTTTTTATTAGACAGTCAAAAAACCTTTTAAAAATAAATAAATATCAAGTAGTAAAAAAGAAGCTAGTTTCTTAGCAGGCTATTTCATTGTCACAAAGATTTGGGCTACTTTGGGCCTGAACACAGTGCTCTAACAGCTAGCGCTGCCGTGCGCACAATGCGATAGGGTGCAAGGAAACCACCACGTTGGATTTCTGCCTGGGAACTGAGCCTCTTAATTGCAGAAAAGAGACAGGCGGATGGGAAACTACAAATCCCAGCATGCAGCGGGCCCTCGGGCCGCTGACCTCCCCGTGTGCTGTAGACATGGCTGGAAGCAGTGAGAGCGCTAGCAGCAAGGTGCCGGAATATGAGGTGCCCGATTTGCACACTCGCGTGTTTCACGTGGGCTCCTTGGGCGCGCTCTGGAAGGAGACCCTGCAAAGGGCGGACCTGGCTTTGCAGGAGCCGGTGGCGGAGGACGGGGCTGCTGCCGTGGCCGAGGGTTTGGGCTGCCCGCTGGAGACAGCCGCAGAGCTTGGGGCTGTGTGCAGGTAACTGCAAGTGGGGACAAAAATCTTGCCCCCCCCCCCCTTTTGCTTGAATCTATAACGTTGTTTCTCAATTGGTGCTCCAAGGAACCAGCACTCCCCTGGCCCCTCTGAAAGAGAGAGTGCCAGCTAAGCAGCTTCTTAAAGAAGCAGCACACTTGTTTCCCTTCCTGGAGATGCAGAGGCACAGTTTTGTGCATTTGTGTAAATCATGCACACAAAAAACAGCTGATTACAGTCCAAACTCAGTTACTCAATTTGTACCCCATAACTGGGAGATATACATGTGAAATCATAGATGCACATTTTAGTTCATGGGCCTCCACTTCCTATTTGTCAGGTCCTTAATTCAGGCTGGTTTTAAATATTTATTTTGCTCATGGAGGACTTTGCTAAGAACAATCTACAAAGGGAAGAATATTAAGGCAAAGAAGATTAGTCGTATAGAAGGTCTTACTGAGAGACTGATTCGGCTTCTCTTCCTCTGGTTAATTAGCATTTAGAATATCTATGCTAATGATTCTTTTAGTTTCAAAGGGCTCTAAAGCGAGCCAGAAGAATAAGGATTCATAAAACATATTCCTGATTGAAAGTGGCATAGTACAGTGAGTACTGATCAGAGTACTATGCACAATGAATACAGATTGAAGAACTAGAACCTGAAATACTACCGGTAATATTTTCTTCATTTTACATGAAATAATTGTTTTTTTATTTCCTCTGCAGTTTACACACTAAGAGTACATTTTAGTGTGTAAAACGCCTGTTTTTCTGGAGAAACTACACTGAGGTCCACTCTGCAATTGTTTCTTTCGTCAGAAAGTCAAAAGAACAAAGAGGTTTTTCCAACAGCGGTAAACCTATTTTTACGAGGAAGAATCCTTTTTCTGAAAGAGTGAGCATATATGGACAGGGAAGAGGGGGTTTTTTCATCAATAATAATCACAACTTAAATGCAAGATAGCATCCAGTCAATGTGGACACTATCTTTCGAAAAAGCAGATTGCTTTTTCGATGCGCTTTTGCTGTGTGGACGCAAGAGATCTTGGAGTTATTGTGGATAGCTCTCTGAAAACATCCACTCAGTGTGCAGTGGCAGTCAAAAAAGCAAATAGAATGTTAGGAATCATTAAAAGAGGGATAGAAAATAAGACGAAGAGTATCTTACTGCCCCTATATAAAATTATAGTACACCCACATCTTGAATACTGTGTACAGATGTGGTCTCTTCACCTCAAAAAAGATATTTTGGCATTAGAAAAGGTTCAGAAAAGAGCAACTAAAATGATTAGGGGTTTGGAACGGGTCCCATATGAGGAGAGGCTAAAGAGACTGGGACTTTTCAGTTTAGAAAAGGGGAGGCTGAGGGGGGATATGATAGAGGTCTATAAAATCATGAGTGGTGTGGAGAGGGTGAATAAAGAAAAGTTATTTACTTGTTCCCATAATATAAAAATTAGAGGACACCAAATGAAATGAATGGGTAGCAGGTTTAAAACTAATAAAAGAAAGTTCTTCTTCACACAGTCAATCTGTGGAACTCTTTGCCAGAGGAGACTGTGAAGGCTAGGACTATAACAGAGTTCAAAAAAGAGCTAGATAAATTAATGGAGGTTAGATCCAAGGGGTAAGGAATGGTGCCCCTGACTTCTTTTTGTCAAAGGCTGGAGAAGGATGGCAGGAGACAAATTGCTTGATCATTGTCTTCGGTCCACCCCCTCTGGGGCACCTGGCACTGGACACTATTGGCAGACAGGATACTGGGCTAGATGGACCTTTGGTCTGACTCGGTTTGGCCATTCTTATGTTCACTCTTTCAAAAGAAGTTTTTCTGGAAGATCTCTTCTGGAAAAGCTTCTTCCGTAAGAAGCCTACAGTCTAGACATAGCCTAACTCAGGATCCAGTATTTCATTCAGTTCTCAGACTCCTTTTGTTTTCCTTAATCTTCCTTTACCCCACCTCCAAAGATTTAATTATCATGCTATACTAGATTTTAAATAAAAACCTGTCACCTGATGCTATTAAGTTAAACACCTTCTGGTCTCTTATCACAGACAGGATATAATTGCTGCAGTTAACTGGATTACAATAGCCGTTATGTCATTATCACAGGAGCGCACTTCCTTTGCTGTCTGTATCTATTATCTCCTTAATCTGTCAAAAGTGATTAATAAGTTTCCACACTGGAAAACAAAACAAAACAAATGATTGTCTTTTTTTTTTTTGACCCATCTAATGATTCTGTTTGATGTATTCATTTTAATTTCTAACTGTTGCATGTATTCAGGGAAGTCGACAGTCTTACCAGGCCCCTGGGCAAGCTATGTGTTTGTGTTAGGGAGGTGGGGAGGCGCTGATTCCATGCTCCTGAAAGGGGTGGGGATGTGGCAGGCAGCCCTTAGCATCCTCAGACCAGCAATGAGTGCTGTTATAATTGTGAGTGTCACCCGTGGGAAGTGGGTACAGATTCATGAACTGCAATTGAGTTATGAAACATTGTTTTAAGGAAATATATTGTAAGACGACAGATTGAGTTAACACAGTTCTTGAGTTGTGACTAGAGGGGACTACAGGACCGGGAGTCAAATTAGCAAAACGGGTGCCTTGGCAACTCGGCCAAATTGATGGGCAAACCAATGTGACCACTCTTTTGGGGGCCTTTAAAGAGATGCTTGAGGGGAGCCTGTAGCAGATGGACTGATCTCATGACACCAGACCTTGACATTGCTACATCAGCAAGGACCCCAGCCTGATAAACGCAGGACCTGCTCTGTCTTTGCTCCCTCACGTATCCCTTTCCATTACCCACTACCTGCCTCCTGTCCTTGTCCTGCATTTCACCCGAACCTGGAATCAAACATACTGCACAGTATCAGCATGGTAAGATGAAATAGCCTTCTCAGCTCTGCCGGAGAAGGACAAGTGAAGAGTGGAACCTTACTGCACCAATCAGATGATGTCTCTGACTACCAGGGCAAGCTAGGGTCCAGATCAACAGCTGATATTTGCCAGCCTAAAACATTTTTATTTTCAACTCAGGCTTAGTTCTGTTGTTCAAATCTTTCTGCCCCACTATGACAACCATGGTCCAGACAGCACAAGGGGATGGAAAGCACAAAGTAAGCAGCTGAACCAGCTGATCCACTAGGGAAAGCAACAGCCTGTGTTGAGCCAGGACTAAGCCAGGCAGCTGGTCAGCCTGCTAAAAAATGTACTGGCGAGGGAGGTGGGAGGGAAATGCTTGAATCTATAACGTTGTTTCTCAATTGGTGCTCCGAGGAACCAGCACTCCCCTGGGAGAGCGCCGGCTAGCCAGCTTCTTAAAGAAGGAGCACACTGGTTTCCCGTTCCCCCTAGCGACGCAGAGGCGTAGGGAGGCGGGGGCAGAGGGAACAGTTTCTCCCGACCGGCACACTAGAGGGGTTCCAGACAGAGGTGACCCACAGCGGGAAGGGATGCACTGCAAGCCAGGTGGCCAGTTCCAAGTAACAACCCATTGTCCAGCCCAGTGTTTCCCAATTGGTGCTTCACGGAAGCCTGGGGTTCTGCAAAGCGAAAGTAGGGGTTCTGCAAGGAGCCGGCACTCCCCCACCCCCTCTGAAAGAGAGAGAGCCGGCTAGCCAACTTCTTAAAGAAACAGCACACTTGTTTCCCATTCCTCCCTGGCGATGCAGAGGTGTAGTGAGGTGGGGGCAGAGTGGAACAGTTGCTCCCGTCTGGCATCCTAGGGGGGTGCTGGACAGGGGTGACCCCACGTGACCTACAGCAGAGAGGGAAGCACTTCTCTTCCCAAAGCAGCCAGTGCATGCTGCCTGAACAGCTGGGGCTGTGGCACCCGGTCACTTAGTTCCGCTGCCTTTCTGCGTAGTATGGAGGTCAGGAGACCCGGGTCTGTGCAGCTCCAACTGTGCAGGCAGCGCTTTCTGCCCTGGGGCTCCCCAAACTCCCCTTCCCTGCAGGACGCATCGGGGAAGTAAGTTGCTGGAGTGCAAAAGTCCCTGCTGTTCAGGCAGCACGCATGCCAGCTGTTTGGGGAGGGGGAGTGCAGTTGCACACTTCCTGGAACCCAGAGGTGCTGCAGGATTGCCAGGTACTGGTCCCAGCTGCCTGCATCCCTTGCCCAGACCCCCCACGAGTACTCTGTCCCCTGCCACCACCAGCGCTGTCCCCAGCACCCAGTAGTACCCTGTCCCCAGCACCCTGCCATCCACCCTAGCACCCAGCACCCTACCACTCACCCCAGGACCCTGTCCCTGGCCCCACTCACCCCAGCATACAGCAGCACCCTGTCCCCAACCCCAGCACCCTGCCATCCACCCTCACACCCAGCACCACTCTGTCTCTGGCCCCAGCACCCTACCACCCACCGCAGCACCCAGCACCACTCTGTTCCTTGTCCCAGCACCCTGCCACCCACTCCAGTGCCCAGCAGGACCATATCCCTGACTCCAGCATCCTGCCCCAGCACCCTGCCACCTGTGCCAGCATCCTGCCACCCAGCAGCACCCTCTCCCTGGCCCCAGCACTCACTAGCACCCTGTCCCCTCCAGCACAGTTTGGACCTCATTAATGAGGCTTGGGGGGGGAGGGTTTTTTTTGCATCTCACTTGTGTAGCCCCAATTGACTTTTCTGTGGGTCAGTGACTCTTGACTCAAAACAGGTTCCCCGCCCCTCTCATAAATAAAGACAATGCTAAAACCTTTTGAGATTGCCATAATATTTTATTTAAAAATGAAGCCTGGCCAGCATGCCCCCAATTGGGGCCAGATCCCCATCTCACTGCAGCATCATCATATCCTGCACCACCTGACCCCAAGTCTGAGCCTGGCATACACTGGAACCCCCTGTCCTGAACCTCTTACATCCCCAAACTCCTGCATCTCCACATCCTCAGTCTTCTGCCACAACACTCCTGCACCATTCACACATCACATCTGTGTCCTGAGCCCATCATACTCCCAGCCTCCTTGCCCTGAGCCTCTCACATATCCAACCCAAACT